GCAGGAAATAACATATAAATATGCACTACATTACTAGATGCAGCTTTTATGTATGCTTTGTCATTTGTTCAGGCCATATTTTAACGTACACAAACTGATGTGTGTGGGGGGTTTTTCACCTTCTTCCCCCCCCCCCCCCTTCCTTTCAAGCACTTGGAGAGTGAAAAAGATGGAATTATTAGCTGCCTGGATCTAATTTTGAAGTGGCTCACACTGCGCTTCTTTGAAACCAACACAAGTGTTCTGATGAAGGCCCTTGAATACCTTAAATTGCTTTTTACCTTGCTGAGCCAGGAGGAGTACCACCTTACTGAGAACGAAGCATCCTCTTTCATCCCATATCTTATTTTGAAGGTATGATATACTAACAGAAATTGGCATTACAGTTTTACTTATGGATGCCACCAGGGCACAAATAAATGCTGTAGCTACTCAGTTCATTGTAATACTTTGCATAGTTGCCTTTCAAAGGTCCTTGTCTTGAGTATTTACATTTTTTTGAAGGTTAAGCCAGGTTTGTCTGGTATTGTGTAGACACCTGGCAAAGTGCAGTGGGCAATGTGGAGTGCTTAAAACTTGGTCCTGTGGTTTGCTTCTCCTTCACCCAGGTTGGGGAACCAAAAGATGTTGTTCGCAAGGATGTGCGTGCCATTCTGAACAGAATGTGCCTCATTTATCCAGCCAGCAAAATGTTCACTTTCCTTATGGAGGGGACAAAGTCCAAAAACTCCAAACAGCGGGCAGGTGAGGAATAGCAGTATGGACTGGGATCTTTGGGGTAGAATCAGACCAACAGGTTCTGAGCTTTGCCTACAAATGCCATTTCCCTTGAATACATAACTCTTCTAGGGGCAAGCAGGGATGTAAAAAAAACACCAAAACAAAAAAACAAAAAACAAAAAAAAACAAAAACCCCAAACAAAAATTAAAAAAAAAAAAAACCTTGTTCAGATTCTTTTTGGTATTACTACAGAAAAGTTTTAAGGAATACATTGTAAGCTGCCCATCATGATGGTTCCATTCTAGTCATTAGAAGGTCTGTGTCTTACCAAGCCAGGAGCCTGCTCAATGCCAAAGGACTTTAGAGAATCTAGTTTTGCCCGGGTGACTTATGTCAACCAATTGGGAGCTGTTAACAGTTTAGTCTTGAAAGGGAAACCAAGGTCTTCATGGTGTGTAGCCCCTCCCTGTTTCTACACGACTTGCCTGTAACAGTTTCCTAGGTGCCTGGGGGACCCTTTTTTTTTTTAAAGTTGAAATATTAGATGAAACATTAGTTCTTTGCCCCAAATGACATGATACTCACAAATGACTGAACCGTGCAGAACTTGGACTTCTTTCCAAAATGGCCTGTTCCTGCCCTGTCCTGTTAATCTGTCTGATCATTAAATTTTACAATTAAAGATTGCATCATTGAAGTAATTATCCAACATGCTTATCTCTTGTAATGGAAAATATTGGGTGGTGGGCAGTGGTGTGACTTTGGTAACAGATTAAAAAGTTTTCCCCCTTTCTTCCTCCCTGAGTCTTCTCAGTCCCTACTCACTGTAACAACCCCTACCCCCTGTTACTGGAAGTGAGTAAGGTCAGGTGAGTGGAAGAGGGTGAAGCATAGGGTCATAATCCTGGCTTCTGGTAAGCAGCCTCAGACTTGACTGGAGAGAAGCTCTTCAAGAAATTACATGGAGTTAAGTAGGTTATTATACAGTTCATGTTGCTATTTAACTGGAGGGTTGGGAGTGGCTGTAGGGGGCACATCCAGATGAGTACACATGTGCATTTTCCCTGGGGACAAATAGCAGCAGCACATAGCTTCCTGGGGCCCAGCTGCGGCAATCTGGCAGCAGGGAGCCTAACCGGCAGTTGGAGTATGGCTCTGGCTAGTCAGGCTCCAGTTTCAGGCAGCTCATGCTGTTACCACATGCACCGCCTTGCTTTTTTCTAGTGCGGAGTTTGTTTGATTTTTTTTACACTGTGATCTCCTAGTGTCAACCCCCCCAAACAAACAAACAAACAAAAAACAAACAAACCCTGTGCTGCTACACCTGCATGTGTGGTGTGTGTGGTGCACAGTGCCACAGGTGGGTCGGCAGCACCACATAATGCACATGCATGCTTGCCTGGATGTGCACAAGAGGTGCCTGGGAGGCACTCGGCAATTTGAACTCTGCCAAGAGTCAGGGACCTGGTGAGCTGAAACCAGTGTAGGGCCCAAGGGCCTTGTGAATGGAGTTGGAGTAAGACCTGTGAGGCCTGGGTCTGGCTATGGGGCATCTGGAGTCCATGATTGGTGCCCCTAAGACAAGATTAGTATTAGCAAGGAACAGTTTGTGCCAGTTTGTTGCATAATATTTTAGTTAGTGGGCCGAGTGTCTGGCTAAACAAATTGAACTAGGCCAAGTGCAGGACTATTAGGCTCCCTCTAGGACTCTGAGAGTGACCTCCCAAAGTAACAAAGATTCCATCAAAGCCTGGCAGATGAAACAAAAGTGAGGTGGGGGGGAGGGTACCCTGAGGAGCTGGAGTTGGGCAGGATTGGTTCAATTGCCAAGGGTGCCATGGCCACCCTCGGGGGCTGGTCCTACTACACCCACAAAGTGGAGGGATTTTTTGTTTTGTCATTAAATTCAGCACAGCGGTGTCAGATGCCAAAGGCATTGCCACACTTTGAGCTCATTTGGGACAGAGGTAGCAGGACTGACAGGCTTTCCTTTTTACTGACCCTGAAGGGTTTTTTTTGATTCACAAATGTCTCCTTCTGATCCCTTAGAGTGCCTGGAAGAGTTGGGGTGTCTAGTTGAATCCTACGGTATGAATGTCTGCCAACCAACTCCAGGCAAAGCCCTAAAGGAGATGGCAGCTCACATTGGCGACCGGGACAACACCGTCCGCAATGCTGCACTCAACACCATTGTGACTGTTTACAATGTGCATGGAGACCAGGTGTTCAAGCTGATTGGAAATGTGAGTGACTAGAAGTCTTGGAGGAGAGGTAGCTTAATCAGTTCTGAACCCTGCGTAAGGCAGCTGTTCACACTGTGTGCTGCTAATGATCAGTCTTGGCATATCCCACCTTTGACAGCAAGATCAATGCCAAGAGTTCAACTTGTGGTGATTTGGGGTTGATGTTATGATGCAGATCCTCTAAAAGTTAACTGATTAATTCTAGATTGAGTATCCTAATCTCTAGTAACCAAAGGTGACACATTTATAATTGAAAGAATAAGCCAATGCTAATTGGTATTTCTTCTTGGAGATTCCACTGTTGGTAAATAGTGTCACATCATTGTAAAGCAAACTGCTGATGACTCAGATGTGAATGAAAGTCGAAGCTTTGTCTTTGAAAAGAGGCATACGGCTAGCTGCAATAATTCTTATCTTGCCAGTTTGTTTCTGCAAATGGGAACTCCTTTGAAGTAACCTTCCCTTCTATTCACCTTCGTTTCCATGCTAATGTAAAGCTCCTTAAAATCCAAGCTGCTACAATTTATTCAATGTTGTAATGCTTTTAGTGGACAGCAGCGGTGTTCTGTTTTGTTTCTGTTTCTTGGCATCCCTTGCTATTCCATGGTCTAAAGCCTCTAATATTTCTCAGGCACCTCAGTATTGATTTACCTTGGATCCATGATGTTCTACTCAGTCTTGATTGCTTTACCAACAGATGTACAAAATATAGCACAGACTAAAGATTGCAAAATTCCATTTCCAACGGCCTCCAAGTCGTATACAGCTACTTCAGTGGATTTGCACAACTCTTAACTAATAACTGAAGAGAACTTTATGTAGCAAGCAGTGAGCAAGCTAAACTAAATTCTAAGGGCTTTTCCATTGTCAGACAAACCTTGAGTTACAGGTAATGCAGCCATTACCTGCCCATGCCACCCTTTTTCCGGGTGGCTACCCTTCCATGCTGGTGTTTTGAGTGCACCTTTATTGCAGTAAGGTCTGCATTGCTACCACTTCTGATCCGGGATTGAGAAAATCTTTTTAATTGTATGGCTTCTCTTCAGGCTACCCTTTTCTAGTACGGACCAAGGACAGCTTGCAAGTGGGCTGTAGCAGCTAGTTTTATTTTGAACTAAGATTGCCTTACAATTTTCCCTTTTTTTTTTTTTATCCCCAAATGTATAGTAGTTCTTGAGGTTGGTTGTATGAGGGTTGAGGTTTGAATCCAGTTACTCATTAAAATGGCACTTCAGTCACCATGGAGTGTGGTAGCAGGATCATTTGTCTTTTAGCTTTCTACCTGAGATTTGTAAAATGGGCTCAGTGTTTGCAAAATTAAAACCATCTTTTTGACAGCTTTCTGAGAAAGACATGAGCATGCTGGAGGAGAGAATAAAGAGGTCAGCCAAAAGACCAGCTGCTGCTCCAGCAAGGCAAGTAGAGGAAAAACCACAGCGTCTTCAGACCACCAGTGCCAATACTAGCATGCTGCGTAAGGGATCAGCTGAGGACGTGTCCTCCAAACTCAGGTGTGTAGTGAGATCTTCTGTGTGGTGTCTGCAGTGTATGTGCTTAAAAACATGTGCAGCTATGTTACTTTAGTTCTCATAATCCCAGTCTTTGCATGTCGTAAAAGCAGGCCAAATATTGCAAAACAAAATGTTTGATTCTTCATTTTTTTTTGTCTTGTCTGTCTTGAATCCTTTCTAAATGGTCTTGTGCCTTCTTTCACTGCTTCTCCATGGACAGAATTATGTATCGCACTTATAGGATGTAAGTACTGCCCACTAACTCCTTGGTAGCAGGGCTCTTGTATCTTTCAACTTCTGCCCTAGTCGTCCCCTCCAAAGGATGACTAGTTTACGCAGCCCAGTTCTAGGTTATTTGTAAATACCTCTGGTTTAAAAGTAAAAGTATAAAATGCCTCTGCCAATGGCAACTATGACCCAAACTGCTAGCAGACATGGCACCTCCATGTTGGGCAGCTGCTGGAGATACTGGGAGAGTTCATTCCCATACATTGCATTTAAACTTGATATTGATTGAGCAGATATACAGCAGAGTTGTCTAAGCCCTGTGAATTTTTTTTACCTTGGGACACCTATAATACTCAGTAACAATACCCTACAGCCTGTATTAACTCAATCTTTGGGGAAAGTCCCCCTCCTTCAACCCCATCCCAGTTAAAATAGTATAGTAGAATGTTCCACTTGAATAATCATATGCCTAACATAGTGATCTGCAAACCTTTTATGATGCTGATTTTTATCTTGTAAGGCTGCTAATTCAGTTAGACATTAATTCAGGCATTTTTTCCTCTCTTAACCATGAAAGAGACTTAAGCTGCATTAGGATAGCCCATCAGTACAGTCTTAAGTGGCACTGGATCTGTCATGACAGGGTGGTGTACACTTGTCACTGCTGCTTTGCAACTTACGGAAGGCTGTAGGGGAAATTGGTAGCTTTTCAGGTGAACTTTAAAAGCAAATAACTGGCAGCTGCTCTCCTGGCTTACACAAGCCTATACTGCTAACAGCTGGGGGAATCCATAAGGGGTTCAGTTAAGGGACTGAATACATTTTGGATCTTCAAAATGGCTATCCTGATATGAGAGCTTTAAGACTACCATTGGATGCTAGTGTTAACACTTTTGCCTATTGTATTAAGACCTAATAAATGCATCTCTCTTGGTTCCTATAGTCAAGCCCGCAACATGAGTGGCCATTCTGAGACGATGCATGCAGTTCCACGGGAGTTCCAGCTGGATCTAGATGAGATCGAGAATGACAATGGTACAGTCCGATGTGAGATGCCAGCACTTGTACAGCATAAACTAGATGACATTTTTGAGCCAGTCCTGATTCCGGAGCCCAAGTGAGTTTAGTTATATCCCCCTGCCTATGTGAAGCTACCTGAAATGGTCTTTTCAGGATAGTCTTAAGAAACTGAATAAAAAGCTAGCATGAGCAAGTAAAACCTGAACGAGTTGGAAGAGTCCAACTCTGAAAGTGATGGTGCATTTGATGTTGTGGAACGAGAGTACAAAAGGAGATGTTTAAGTTGCCATGACAACACATTACTGTCTGGAAGAGCTGAGGGAGCTGCCTGTGGTTATATGGGAAGAAAAATCTGAATTTGAGTACAGCATAGACTGTCACATTTAGGTTGCACTCCTAGCTCTGTCACAGACTAAGACAAATGGCCTACCATCTCCTTTCATTATTTGTAAATGGGAATAACTTTCTCAGACATCCCTGTTAGGATGAATTCCTGCTTTGTCAAGTGTCTGAGATGTTGCTACAAGTCACCTGTGAAGTACAAGTTAGAATTCTTTCCACAGAAATTCATTAATCCTTTTCTTCCAACTGTCTAGGATCCGTGCTGTGTCCCCACACTTTGATGATATGCACAGTAACACGGCTTCCACTATCAACTTTGTCATCTCCCAGGTAGCCAGTGGTGACATCAATACTAGCATCCAGGCTCTGGCACAGGTAAGAGGAACATTTGGCTGATGTTTAATTAAGACCAGCAGTTTGCGAGAGTGATGAGCTGCACTTCAGTGGAGCTGCCATGTCCGGTGACATGGACCCCACTCAGAATCTCCCTGATGACAAAGCTATGTGCACAGGGGCCATCTGACTCGCTACTTCCAATTAGACTGTCCTAGGCCTGGGAACTTATCAAATCAATATTCTTGTCAGCTCTAGATGTTGAACCATGGAGTGGGTGATTTTACATTTACGTAACCTACTAAACTACTTTTTCTACCTGGAAATATATTCAGGTTATTGGATGTGATGCAGCCCATGTTGTGGCAGTGAGGCTGCCGTTTTAATGAAATCACCTTGCAGATTCCCACTGTAGGAATCCCGTTTCCTGCCTTGTAACCCTTTCACCATTCTAAACCAGTTCTAGCTGTTTAGGACTAGAGTCCCTAGAAAAAACGCACAAAGCAAATCCAGTATAGAATCCATACATCTTGCATCCTCCGTCTTGTATAGGCTGCAAATTGCAGCTATAGAAGAGATCATGCACATATTACTGATTGGACTTTCACAGCTGACCTCGCTACAGAATTACTAATTTTTAGGTGAAGTTTTAGGAAGCGGATCACTCCACTAGTGGAGTAAGTGGACGGTTTCTTTGGAATAGTTTCTTATATTTAGTTTTTCTGTACCAAGATCAACTTTTAATCTGTTTTGGGTGTCTTTTTTCTAGATTGATGAAGTCCTCAGACAGGAGGACAAAGCAGAAGCCATGTCTGGCCACATTGACCAGTTCCTAATAGCTACGTTCATGCAGCTTCGACTGATCTACAACACACACATGGCAGATGAGAAGCTGGACAAGGATGAGATAGTCAAGCTTTATAGCTGCATCATTGGGAACATGATCTCGGTAAGGCTGCTCTGGGGTGGGGCAAAAACCAAGCTCTGAGCCAGATGCTTTGCAAGAAACATGGAAGTGTTTTCCACTGGCCTTGCTTTCTAGAGAATCCTGTTTGGGGACAGTTTGTTCCTAGCTGTTCTTTAGATTATGTGTTTTAAGATAGTGTAGCGACAGCCACATGCAGGAAATTAAATTTAATACAAAGTCCACAGGAGGCCTTTGGGAAATAAGTACTCGACACCCTGGTCCCAAGCCTCTCAAGTGGGCTATAGGTATCCTAAAACAGGGGGAAGTTGGGAACATGATTTCAAATGGGAATAGGGTGAAACAAACTTTAGATGGGTTGACTTATTTATTGAGGTATATGCTCAGTATTGTACAGAACACAGATATTGCCTGTCAATAGTAGTAAATTTCAAACTGAATTCTATGTAAGTGAATGCTGAGATTTCGTTTTGCCAATGGAGTTTTTGTATCTGGAAGGTTGGTCTGTGCCTTACAATTAATTCATTGGCTTCATTTGCTTAAAGTTCACTTCGTTTATGAGGGAGTGGTGGTAGGGACAGGACAGGGAGCAGAGAGAGAGTGGAAAGATTAAAGTATGAAATGAGGGGCTAGAGGAAGAGCAAAAATTCTGGAAATGTAGTTTCTGATTAAAAGACTTGTGACATTTTAATAGCTCTAGTACTGACACTTGACAGAAGAAGCCTTCCCGGACAGAAGTAACTTTGCATGTTGGGGAGTGGCTTGTCGTTTGCCCAGGCAAAGGAGTTGAGAATAATGTTTCAAAGAGCAGTGTCAGAAAAGCATTATGATGTAGTCTGATTCCTTGCATTACACAGGCATGGAACTTGCGCATTGAGTCCAGTATCATGGCTGCCTTAGAGTACAGTATAGTACTGGACTCTGTTTTACCTGAATCCTAAATGAAGGAAGACTTAGGCAGACATGCCTGATTTAACTGCAGGGTGAAAGAGGAGGTTTGGCTTTGTAATAGTCCTGCCTCATGATTCTACGATACTCAAGACACTTGAATTCTTAGGGAGAAGCTATATGTAGCAGCGATCCTTGAAGTCTTGCCGTCATAACTTGGTATGGGGATTGTCAAAGAAAGATTAAATTAGGGGTGTGTACACTGGCAGGAGCTAGAGAATGCCACCTTCCAAAATGCCTTGTTACAGTATGCAAGGCCACACACAGAACAATGAGGAGAAAAGAAAATGTGAATCATTGAATCATTATTAATTAAATGTGCACTAAAAGAGGCAGAGACTTAGGAGGGCAAAAAGGCTTTGGTCACATAATCCGAGTGTAGCATAATGTACATATACAAAAGGTTGCACAGATTATCTTAATTACAGAATTGTAATTAATTCTGGCACGTCTTCACTTTTGAGCTCTTAAATTTGGCACCATAGGGTTCTTTTTAATAATTTTGTGTGCAACTTTCTAAGAATTAAATGGGGGGGGTGGGAAATCTGCATTATAAATCCCATGTGGTCAGTAGTAGGGTTGGAACCCTTGGGTTCACTGAACAGACCTCTACTGTTTAGGTTAACAGGGAGCAAGAATAGGCTGCTACCCTTCATTTGGATCTCCACGCAAGGTGGGTCAGGATATTGTCGCATACTTGCTGACAGCAAAGGTGTTGACTTAAATCTTAGATTTCACTCTAAATTCTGGATAGAAGTGTATTTACAGCGAATCCTTTTGCCCTATTCCTTTAAGCCTGTCTCTGTCTTCACTCAACTGGTCCCACTCCATTTGCGTGGCTCCTTACGCAGCTAGCCTAGTCTGATCCCTCTGCCATATGTATTTCCAGTCTCCTTGTCTAGCCTGTATCATACTTCCCATCTCTCTTCCACCATATTTTCACTTGGTAGTTGTCCATTCTGAATTTGAAAGGGGCAGCTTCCTTCTCTGACCTACCAGGCACCAGAAAAGTATGCCAGACAAATGGGTCTCAGAACTTTAAGGACAGGCCCAGAATTTGCCCTGGCCTGTAGCAGCCAAAGAATAGCGATCGTTAGAACTCTTCAAAGAATAGGTTACCAGTCATTTCTCCCTAGTCTCATTCATGTAACAGAGTGACCCATTTTGGCTGAAACTTAAAATCACGTCTGCCTGAAACTGACATTTGGCATAGAAAACTTCAGCCCAAGTGATAAGAGGTTGGCCACATTTTAAGGAACTGAAAATAGGTTCTGCTAGTGGGATGTTTGGGGAACTTTTAATAGACAGTGCTGCACCTTTTCTAGAGTCTCTGACATACAGACATTGTTGATGCGATAGGTGTTGCATTATTTGAAAAGAAATATTTTAAACACAAGGGAACAGAATTAGAAAGCAGTTCTATTCTGAATGGGCTGAAAATGGTATCATGGGAGTTAACTTACAAACTGAAATGTTTCCTAATTGCCATTCCCATAAAACTCAACTGGGACTGTCAGTGTCTTATCACTAGCAATAACCTCTCTGTAGGTCAAAGTAGTTAGTGATACCTGTGCAGCCATGTTTTTTCCATCAGTTTGCATAGGCAGCTAGGTTACTTTTTATTTTAGCTATTCTTGATGCTAAAGAAGCACTAGAATCTATTGTCTCAAGTTGGGATAGCTCTTTGAGACCAACAGCAGTAAATGGTTGTAATTCTATATTAGTCATGAACATCAGTAATTCCAGCTGATTTGTCCAAAGGAACAGAGGTAAAAGCTGTAGTCTTATTTCAAAATAAATCCCTATTAAGATACACACATGCAGCCTAAACTTCTTGTATTCTTTGCTTTTGAACACTTAACTATACAACCTGTTATAGCCCATGTGCCAGAAACAGGGGACTATCTGCATCTTAGTAGAATGTATAAACACCACTTTGTGGAAAAGGTGCATTCTAAAGAGGGACGTGGGAATCCTGGAGGACTCCCTAAGTTAGAATGATTCATAATATTGATTTGTAATTCTGATTTCTATTGATAGCTATTCCAAATAGAGAGCCTAGCCCGGGAGGCCTCCACAGGAGTGCTAAAGGACTTGATGCATGGGCTTATCACATTGATGCTGGATTCACGAGTCGAAGACCTTGAGGAAGGTCAGCAGGTCATACGATCAGTCAACCTTCTGGTGGTGAAAGTTCTAGAGAAGTCTGACCAGACGAATATCCTGAGGTAAAATAGTCTTTGCTGGAATTCCATGGAAACTTTTCTGTCTGTACTAAAATCATGACACTGTATATGCGATAACTACTATCAGTATCCTAGTCTTCCTTTACCGTTTGTTAAACACCATTTTATTTAACTATCTCGCAAGACTAAGGCCTTTCTTATCTATCACAGAAATGAGCATAGCTGGCCATGCAACAGTCCAGCTGGCTATTTAAAAAGCAAATATTCCTCCTGGATGCTTGTATAGTAACTAGCCAGGTTCTAATCATAACTAAATTACTGCAAATCATCTTTGATGAAAGTACCACCTGATATTGTATTCAGTGTTGATTGCTTAACACAGACCTGACATGTTCTGCAGAAGTTCAGTGCTCTAATTTTATAAAATCATAGTAAGGTATTGAAAAAAGGGGCTTAACACCACATGAAATAATTCAGCTATCCCTAACCTATAGCCTCTGATACTGTGTTTAGTAGGGTATTGTACCTGTGCTCCTTGTAGCATTTACCTGACTAATACTACCTAAACTTATTTTCTCTAGTGCCCTGCTTGTTCTGCTCCAGGACAGTCTGCTAGCAACGGCCAGCTCTCCCAAGTTTTCAGAGCTTGTCATGAAGGTAAACCCATAATGGAGGCTTTGAGCTCATTTGATTCTTCTTTGAAACACTAGGTTTCTGCTTGGCTCGACCAGATGGATTAAGGGGAAAAAGCACTTGCTTCAGCCAGCTATCATAATGTGCATACTTGCCCTGTCTGCACTAAGGTTCTAAAACAAAACATGTTAACTTGTTAGAAAGTGTTCTGTCCCAGTCCAGATACATATTTGTTGAGATATACAAGCACTAAGCAGGTCAGTGTGGGAAGAATAACATATCTGTCCCAGTGTGTACACACATTCAATCTTCTGTTACTGATAGTGGATTCAGCACCAGGTCTTTCCCCTCTAGGCAGTTAGCTAGTCTTTAAAATACAAACTCAGTTTTACAAAGAGACAACTGCTTAGGGTCAGGCTTTCTATTTCTTTCAGTGTCTATGGAGAATGGTGCGGCTTCTGCCTGAAACGATCAATAGCATCAACCTGGACCGAATTCTGTTGGACATCCACGTTTTCATGAAAGTCTTTCCCAAGGAGAAGCTGAAACAGTGTAAGAGTGAATTTCCCATAAGGACACTGAAGACTCTACTTCATACCCTGTGCAAGCTGAAAGGGCCCAAGGTGAGAGCCGACTCCAGCAGCATGCCTTTAGAGATTGCTAAAGTATCTCAGATTGCTGAAGTTCTCTTCTTTTCCTCAGATCTTGGACCACTTAACAATGATAGACAACAAAAATGAGTCTGAGCTGGAAGCTCACCTGTGTAGGGTAATGAAACACTCTATGGACCAAACTGGAAGCAAGGCTGATAAGGACACAGAAAAAGGGGCTTCCCGCATAGTAAGTAGCATGATTTTTTTGAAAGGTGGAGGGAAAATTGGGAAATATTCTGTTCCAAGAAACTGACTGCTTGCTCTATTAGTTAATGAGAGAATTGCACCTGCCCTTTGGAAATGGCCACCAGTGTCTCCCTAGATGAGACTTCAAGCCTGTCATGCTACCCTGTAGCATTTCTCCTTTATAACTAGTGGGTGTAAAAGACTACTCCCTTGATACAGCCTTTGCTAGCTAGGGCTGCCTGTTGTCAGCTGGTAAGTCTTTGGCATTTCCAAATATTAGTCGCTTGTTAAATCAGTCATATCTTATTTTTGAGGGATACCTTTTTAATCTCATTCAGAAGTCTCAATTTCTTCTTTAGGATGAAAAGGCTTCAAAGGCCAAAGTAAATGATATTTTAGCAGAGATATTTAAGAAGATTGGGTCCAAGGAGAACACTAAAGAGGTGAGTTTATTCTTTCCATAGAGAAAGGGGAAAGATAAATGCTTGGAGTGATGTATGCAGGAGCTTGGTAAAACACGGGAACTCTCTTTCCTTAGGGCCTGGCAGAGCTGTATGAATACAAAAAGAAGTATTCTGATGCGGACATTGAGCCTTTCCTGAAAAACTCATCTCAGTTCTTCCAAAGCTATGTTGAACGAGGCCTCCGGCTGATTGAGATGGAGCGGGAAGGCAAAGGACGCATTCCATCTTCTACAGGTACAGAGCTGCTCAGTGGCACTAGTGAACTGAATTGGGGACTTAGAAGCTGAATCTTGCAAGAGGAGTAGCTGCAGCTATGTCACTTAAGAGCAAATATGTGAGACTCTTCTGGTTCCACCTTTCACAGACACCACTCACACTTTGCCACTTGTAAGAGATACCGCCTTTCCTACTGGAAGGCAAGAAAATAAAAGAAAAGACCTGAATAGATTTGTGTAGACGACTGTGGCTTTGGATGGAAAAAGTAACCCCACCACTAATTTGTGGGCACCTCTCCAAAAGTACTTTCAGAAACTTACCTTTTCAAATGGTGTGTAGTACTCTGGGTACTGTAGATGCTCCAGATATAAGGTGTGGCAAGCAATGATTCTTGTTACACCTGGCAGTCTAGCCTGACATGCTGCTTGCATTAAGGTAGTCTTCCTGTAGGAATTGCAGGTGTGCAATGAAGGCACCACAGATGCAGCTTAATACTTTTTTGGGTTACTTAAGTAACAAGAACAGGATCTTTGCATGAAAGCCAAATTGAAGCCTGGCACAGATTTCGCATCAACACAGCAGACAACTATAGAACACAGAATTTTAAAAGAAAATGTTGAATGAGAAATAGCCTAGCAGACCTAATCAGTGCATTATTTGTTGGGTAAGATGTAAGACAGCTTGTAAATGTCCCAGTGCACAGTCTGGGTGCTCTATTCAGAGCTGTCACTGCAGGTTGCTTGGATAACACTGCAAAAGGGGCTGGATTTGCCTGTGGGCCTGGCGTTGAGCACCCATGATGCAAGAAATAACTCATTTTGCGCAAGGAAGCTTCTCAGTAGAACAGAATTCACGTTGCTGGAAGGCACAATCCAGTTCTTAAGAAAATGCAGTCTAAATTGTAGTTCCTGCTAGGGATCATAACAGCAGAACAGCTACTAATAATAAGGGTAGGGATTTAATTGACACAGACTATCTTGCCTCTTGTGCTCCTAGAGCATCCAACTCAGCCCGTCGATATCTTCACTTTGTGCTTAAGTTTCATTTGGGGAAGCAGTGACTGGGAGTTGGAAATTTCAAGAAGCCTCTGGAAATACAGAACTCCCTTCTGTCCCCTGCACATCCCAGATGTGTGCTAAACAGCAGCTCAGCAGCATAGCCTTCCAAGCAGCATTTCATTCCGTTAAGTTTTCTATTTCTTTCAGACCAGGGCCAAAAAGGTGCGATTCTAGCTTCACTGGGCTGGAAGTGTGTAAAAACAAAACCTTGCTCCTAAACTTTCATTCTTCAGAAGAGTCCTACACTACATTGGTAAAGAGAAATCTAAGGACATCCCCTACCTCAGTCTGAGTCTTTCTTCTTAAAGCTTTCTGATTTCCTGCAGTAGAGAAAGCTTCCTTCCATTATTAATGTGAAAGGCTTTTCCTGCTATCAGATGCATGTGGAGGATGGAGAAGAAGGAGGGGATCTTTAAAAGAGGGAAGGCTACCAGAATCCTTTATTGCGCAAAAAGGAACTGGCAGAGAAGCAGCACTCTTCTACTTTCTGAGCAAGAACCCTGGAAGGGTTGAAAGCCTCTTCTAAGGAATTCCACTGGGTTCATCTAACTCACCTCAGCAGTGTTTAAGAGCAAAGGGTAAACACAAAAACTCCCTTGTACCCCTGCTGAGTCATCTCCAGTAGCTTTAACAGCTCTTTCCTACAATGAACCTCTTCAGTTCTTTCAGTTATTAGCCAGAACATGTTAGTTTGTATGTAGATACTTTGTTTTTTTTATGGAGAGGAGAAGCAGTCTGCCTCACTTAGTGGTCTGCCCTGTTTCAGAAAATGGGCTGTATTCCACCTTTTCCAGTTCTGTCCCACTAACAGTAAATAGGAAAAAAATGGATTTCCCAGAGTGCCCCGAGTCAGTATAGTGTTGGGTTCTAGCTTTGTTCTATGGCTATTTCACAGTCTGCATGCTACCTTTTGGTGTCACATGACTGACCAAGAGGCTTAGATCTGTTTCTTCTTTTTCTAGGAATTTCTCCTCAGATGGAAGTAACATGTGTCCCCACTTCCACCAGCACAGTGTCTTCATCCATAGGGAACACAAATGGGGAGGAAGTGGGGCCTTCAGTCTACCTGGAAAGGCTAAAAATCCTCAGGCAGCGCTGTGGTCTTGACAATGCAAAGGTATTGTACTTCTACGGACTTGTATAAATCTACTTAGGGAACTGGTCTATGTAGTATGATAGGACTGCTCACTTGAATGCTAGCTATGCAGCACACAGGCTTTGCTAATCATTGCTCTTGATTCCTACTGCATGGTCTCATCATTAGTGGTGTAGATGCAGTTAAAATTGTTGTCCAGCTTAGTAGGCTTATGCTTCAGTTTCCTTCTGTCTGCTGCACTGATGTAGACACAGCTTGCTGTTTTTGATCTGGAGTCTGGTAGCTTGTCCAGTAACAGTTGTGGGGAGAGGCTGAATAACTGGCTTGTGATTGCTGGTGTCTAAGGAGGTGTCAGGAATACTGTGGGGTTTATATCTGCTGCATGTGCTATTTTTGCCCCCCTTAGATCTGTGAAACTGATGCATCTCCTACCTTTTTAAAGGTTAGGTTAATGCTGTACACCTGCCTAGGATTTGCTGATTTCTCAAGGTTAACGTCTACTTTCTCATGTGATCCAGGAGTTTGGATCACTGAGTGTCTTAAACAAAGATGCTCTAAAACAAGTCAGCACTCTAAAGTGAGGGCTGTTGTGGGGGTGCATCTTGGTTGTGTGGGATTCTGAGGCAGACAGTAATTCTGAATGAGTTCTGTCTATGATGCCAGAAACCTTCAGTGAATCCCAACATATACATTGGATATCTTTTTAAAGCTACTTGCTGAAAAATATTCTGCCTGTCCCTTCAGACATGCCAGAGACACCTGGACTGTCCACAATATACGTGGCAGAGGTTCGTGTACAGCGCTATCCTGACCTTTTTAAGGTCTGAAATGCACATGGACCTTACAGCTCTGGAGGGCAAAGTGGCACATGCTGCAGGTGTGCATTCCTCTGTTACTGATAGCAGATGAAGCCTCAGCTCATCAGGAGAACCTGACTCGATTCAGCCTGTGGCAGAGAGGGTCTTATCAGACAGTCCTAAGTCTCCTCTCCCCTCAGTCTTTTTAGAATCTGAGTCCTCAGCACCACACAGGATTTTAGCTTATCCTGGGCCTAAGTAAAGCAGGACTCAAATCTCTTCCCAACTTGATGTCAAACTGTTGATGACTACTCATTGAGTGTGATGACCTAACTAGCTAAGTAATTATACAGTACTTTCATCTAGTCTGTATTTCCTTAGCTTAGCAATGAGAATGTCATAGGAGACAGTATGAGAAACCTTGCTAAAGTTCAAGTGTTGTGCTCACTGCTCCCCACCCCTCCCCCCCAACCACTCATAGAGCCTGTCTCCTTGTTATGGAAGGGAATCAGATTGGTCAGGCATGATTTGCCCTTGATGAATCCACATTGACTGTTTCTGATCACTTTGATCTCTTCTAGGTGCTTAGAAGTAGGCTTGACTCGCTCCATTATTTTTCCTGGTATTGAGGTCAGATTAACTGGTTTAATTCCCCAGATCTTTCTTCCCTTTCTTAAAGATGGGTCCTGTATTTGCCCTTTTCCAGTCATCTATACTTCACCTAACCTCCTCAGATTCTCCAAAATTACCTCAGCCAATTCCTTTGGTACCTGTCTGGCCTTACTAACTTGAAAACATCTAACTTCTCTAAATAATCCCTAATCTGGTCTTTCACTATTCTAGACTGCTGATCTCTTTCCC